GACACCTTTTTGTAATTTTCAGAAAACCTCACTCTTACGTATACATTCACACACGTATGCCTTTGATGGATGCGAAGAGTTTTATTCAAGTTGTTGTGACTTTGTTCATCGACCGAGGCCGCGCGGTCGATGTGTGCCTTTTGAGCTTGAGCCCATTGTGAACTGTGAGTTTTCGACGTTTGTTTTGAGAGGAAATAAAGACAGGTACTACGGTACTGACACCCCTCCTTCTTTCCCCTCTCACCCCTCCTTGCCTCATGTTTTTGAGAAGGTGAAAAGTGGAAGAAGACGAAGGTGAAAACTGAAAAGGCGGAAAAGAGAGCGAGTAAGAAAGCAAAGAGGTTTCCAAACATTACTTTCCCAGCTAAGGCGTAAATGACTTAGCACAATTTGCGGTATTTTTACAATCTATTACGCTTTTTGCGAGATCCTATGAAGGGCAGCCCGCGTGCTTTGACAGTGTTAACGAACAAAATGATCACGGTATGCCATAAGTGAGGCATTAGTGAGGTAGTCGCTGACCTACCGAGTCCAAGTCAATTAATGAGATGTGATTTGTCCTGTCAATGATCGCCGGTGTATGTCGAAATCAGCCAGAATATTTAGTTGTAAAAGTGATGAATACAAACCGAATTTTATAAACTTCCGATACAAATTAGGATAAAAATCAGTGGGCGAGGATATCAGGTTTTTAGAGCAGATTTCAGCCGGAATTATCCATAGTAGGAAGGCAAGAAGAGAGGGACAATCATGAACGCTAAAAAAAACATCAACATTTATTCCATCAATTATAAGGGCAAAACCCGAAATAAACAGAAGGCCATTACAAAACGCGATCACCATCGGCTCCCTGTTCAGTTCGCATCGTCGAAAAGAAGTTTCCTAACTCAGTGAAACTTAAAACTTTCAACACGTCCAAACTCTAAAGTGACATCTTCTTCCAGTAACAAAGAATCGCAATTTTTTCGTGTAACTATCCTGACATGATGTGTTTTACAAATTCCTCGTACAGTACTTGGCCTTGGTTGTCCTCGAACCCAACCAAAAGCTGATCAACTTCCTCAGCTGTCAACTTGTCACCTAGGCTACACAGCACGTGACGTAACTCGGCCGCGTTCACCAACCCATTGCAGTTGCGGTCAAAGACGCGAAGGCATTCAATAAAATATTCAGGATCAACTAAAATGGAAAGAAATAACGCACACTGAGGTCAATAAAATAAAATCAGTAAACAGTTCTTTCCCTCGTATCTGGTAATTGGTCCGTGATGGTATTGTAGGGGACATAGGACATAGACCCGGGGGGAACTCGTCAAAAATTTGAAAAGAACCCCTGAGAGGTACCACGATCCTGTTTTGTGGGAGTCGGTCAAGAGGTATAAATTCTAAAACAGCACATTATCTCCTGTCATATTGTTTCGGCTGAATACCCTGAAGGGTACCGCGAAAGTTCCCGCTTTGGACCTTTTGAGGCCGAACACTCTAAGAGATACCAAAACCGCTCTTTTAAGCCCTAAAAGGTACGATGAGCACCCCCGTCCTTTTTGTATGTGAGTTTCCCCCCCCCCCGCCTCCCAAGGGTATAGACTTACCCACCATGCAGTCGAGCGAGAAAATGGGCGCTGCAATACCCGACTGCGAAGAGCGAGAGGAAGAGTAATTCATAAATATTTGTAACTCAAAGTAGAAGCAATCCTTTTTTGGACAGAGCAGACCAGCTGTGAAAATTTGCATTCCGTCACAGATACCTCAGACTTATTCTAGTTTCTCTTTGTTACTCCACAGAACGAGGTCGAATAACAGGCATTAGAGATATGGTGCTGATATCTATACAAAAAGGAAATCATTTTCCCCGCAGATTTCTGTTTTAACCTTTTTGTAGCCAGGATCCAGTAAAGTAACAAAAAAGAAACTATTGCAATGCGAAAAAGGTCTAAACCTTTTACAGACGATCAATATCCTGAAAATCCGATCAAATTCTTGTTTCCCATTGAAAAACTAGAATTTGATTCAGTCATGGTCTCTTGGTCATGGCAAAGGAAAAGGTATAATTTTACCGAGCATGATAGATTTCGGTCCGCTCTGAGCATAATTGTGAGGATAAAATGACAGATGGCTAGAATTAAATAATAAAATAGTCTAATTCCAAAACTAAATAGCTAACATTTTAAGTACAAACAAATGTTGCCTTGTTCAGAAACTAGAACCAGTTCGTAAATGTCAATATATCACGAAGTTGCTAAAATCATTTTAATTTATCATACTTCTGTAGATACCATATGAAAAAAAGATTCATCTACTAATACCAGTATCATAAACTACCTAGTTTCTATTAGTGCATCGTATTTAGACTAAAACAAAGAAAATCAACTGCACATCATCAAAATTACTAGATAAAATAAAAATGATTAAGTTGTTTCTTGAATTGATTGCTTATTTGATTTAGAATAAGATCGATTTCTGACACCTCTCTATCATTTAAGTTTACATTTATATTTACGATTTACATTTATGCAGTGAAATTCAGACTATACCAAAAGCAAAACAAAGTTTTGTTTTCCGTATTATTTGGCAGAGATACTCGCCATCTGCATGCCAAAAGTTTCCCTTACAAAACGGCAGCATATAATCTATTTCCGTATCTTTCACTACCCAAGACTAGTCCGTTTTATTTGGGGCCTTAAAAACTTCTCCCGTACTAAGTAAGCTTAATATAGAGAAAAAAAAATGAAAACTTATTTCATAGAGCCGTAAAAATTTTAAACAATTCTTCAAAGTTAAACGAGCCTGTCGAAAACAGAAAACGTTCAAAACTTGAGCTTACCTCCACTTTTCTTCTGTCTATCTCGCAGATTTTGATATATTGGAAAGAATTCTTCGAAGGTAACTCGCTTGACTCCAGTTCCAGCGGGATCAAGACTTTTAATAATTTTTGCAATTTCGCCTTCAGTCGGATTCGTTCCGAGCGCTCGCATAACCTCTCCGATCTGCCTGCATTCAACTTTCTTGTCTCCTCTTCGATCGTAAAGGTAAAATGCCTCTTTGCATTCTTCGATGGAGTCTTCTGGCGATAACATTATCTACTGAGAGAACAATTTTGATTTAGACTCGATGTTTTTTAAAAACGACAAGCTAGTTTAATACGCGACCGCGTTTAGCTTCAGCTGAAATCGAAAGTTGTTGTTTTTCAACTGCATCTGGTTTTTCGTTGACAGGTGTCGCGCGAATATGCAAATTTCATTCATTCACTTTGTGCTTGTCAGCTCAGCGGAGATGACGCAGTTGGTTTGAATTCGATCAATGAAAAATGACTGAACTTACCAAAAATTATACTTAATTTTCAGAATGATTGTTAACAGAACAATCCTCACTGGGCAGAGCAGAAATCTTTTCCCGCCAATATTCTGGATAAAGTTCACTAAAGTTAGTCCCCAGACCTCTATTGTACCGCTCTGCGTTTCATCTCGAGGCCCAAGCGTTACATTTCCGTGACCATTTCAGCATCATGCTAGGACCCACCAAACGTTACCCAAAAATACTACTCAACAGAAAGCTTTTTGTTGGAAATTCAAACACTAGTTAGCTAGTCGTTGGATTTGAGTTGATGTTGTTATATACAAAGTAAAATAGAGGGTCCAAGGCATTAAGTCCATAAAGGATGTAAAGCATGGGTCCTTACAAAAAAGAAAAAAAATTACGTCGTCAGAAACTCTATTTTGGGGCTATTGACTGAGTTTTGCTGTGCATTATAATTAGAGATGCCATCATAAGACTACTATCCATACTTTCCCAGCTCAGTGTCCCCCCAACACCCCCCTGTCTTTCCGTTGAAGCCATTTTTCCGCATTCTAGATCTTCCCACTCCCCTGCCTCACCTTATTAACTGCCAACTCTGAAAAAGTTATCCCCTTACGGTCTACAAGTTTCTTGGTCAAAGATCTTAATTGAGTCTTTCAGTACAGAAGTTTCCTGCCCCCACCCCCTCCTCCCTCTTTCCAAATAGAAGATTAATCTGTATACACAGTCTTTTGTAATAAGTTGTAGCTTTTATGTTAAATTGTTATTGCCTGATGTATTTACTGCGTTTTTAAATAAAGGTGATGATGATGATGATGATGATGATGATGACGACGACGATGAAACAGTCAGTGGACAAGGGCAACATCCAAATTAAATAAATCTGCAGTTTTCCTCACCCAAGTGAACAGATCAGAGCCTC